TATCCAGGTATTATTTTTGTTATGTCAATTGGGCATTGAGAATAATACTTGATGTTAAGAATTACATCTGATTATTCTAAAGTGAGTATATATTAGCAAATACTTTCCTGAAAGTGATTTAGAGATGTGTAAGCAGTCAAATCTATCATATCTTTTCATCTAAGTATAATATAATAATGTTAAATTAATTTTCAGATATTAAGAAATATGCATAGGCATAGAGCAATTATGATTTGAGTTATGAGAAAAAAAATCAAGGTATAATAATGCCAAATTTAGGTCAGTCAGATAAATTACAGTATATCTAAAATAGAGTATAAAATTTGTTATTTGGGCCCTTTTTTGTGGAAGGGATAAGGGATGGCACCTCCAGTCATTTTGCCCATTCATTCCCCATTTATCCACATGAAGAATAGTATGTAGATTTGAAACAGAGTAAGGCTAGGCCTGTGAACCAAACTGACTCCATTTTCCCTGCAGAGGACACTTTGTTACTTTTCCACTCCTCAGTCATGAGACCCCTCAGGGCAAATGATTACCCTATGGGCTGCCCTGACAAAACAGACTGAGATAAGAGAGGAAACAGATATTTACTGCATTGCAAAACCCCTCCCCAAGGCTTGTTTACTATAATTGTAAAAGTTACAGACTAACCTTAAGACCCCTTTAGGAATTCCCACCTGTGCACAAAGCATCCAGGTAACTGCTACTATGACCCTCCTGGGGTGACAGTGAGGAACACCACAGCCTACTGAGTCTGCACCCATGATGCAACCAGGAAGAACAGAACGGGACCACCACCAGTGACGCTGGCCTGCCACGCCTTAACTCCTCTCCCTATAAAAGACCCTGAACAGCTCCCCTCGGGGGGCTGGCCTTACTGTTGCTGCCCCCCTTATGCATAAGTCTATCTCATCTTTTAATAATGCCATTGCTTGCTTTCTGTTGGGTACATTGTTTATTTCTATGACTTTGGAATCCGAGAGCCTAATTTAATCACTGCCAAAAATTGGAAAGCTTTGGGCACCAGAGATGACTCTAGCTGCAAGAGCCAAGTGGCCAGTGGGACTATTTTGCTCCCATGTCTCTGCTGCTCGTGGATCTCTCCTGGAGTCCCTGGCCTACATTGTGACAAGGCAATGCTTTATTCTCTTTACCTTTCTCTGATTTTCTGAGCCCTCTTCTGTTTGGTTGGATTGTATCCACATCTGTATAGGTGCACCCTGGAGGGCTCCCGGCTATGTTTTTGTTTTTCTGATTTAAATCTAGTTGTTACTTTTCTTTATGCTGAAAACAGTGGGGAGAACTGCTTTTGTCAATTACTGTTATTGGAATAGGTTGGCCCTTCTGATTGGGACTAGGCTAAAGTGGACCCCACTGCTCCTCTTTTCTCTTTCTTTGCTTGGTTAGACATTTAGTTGAGTACTGGTAATCTGATATACCTTCCAATTCTTGCATCAACTTTTGGACTTTCAGGTCATTTGTTTAAGGTGAGAGGGTAATCTGAGCCTGACCTGTTCGTAACAGATTTCCCTACTAATTATATAAAATTTCTAAATAAAACACTAATATATTTAATATAGTAATATTCTACATAAGCAATATACTACATGGAAATATTATTCCAGCAGTGTGAGTTATCTTAACATTGGTTATGATAGAAAGCCTCCTTGAATTTGTTATTTGTAAGACTTAGAACAGAGGAAGAATGTATCACAATGATCCTGGCTCACATAGGTGGATCAGGGGAGACAAGCACAGCTCAACATGCTCACTTCAACATTGAAAGAAAATATGTTTTGGGCATGTCATTGTCCAAAAATAGATAACCTAATCAGTGAATAATAAATGCATTTTTTTTACTCATTATTATACACCAGACTATAAAAAACTATACTTACATAATACAGGTGTTTCCCCTTTAGAAAATATGTCTTTAGTAATATAAGGGATTTTATTTAAACCATTATGTGATTGCTTCTGGGACACTTTTTGTGTCTCTCCTTTAAGGAGGAATGTCTTATGTGTTTGATTGCAGTCAAAAGATCATCCCAACCATTGACCAGGGCTAAGTACTTTTTATAGTGTCTTTCAACTTTTCCTGTCCATTACAGAAGAGACAGCTACACATTGATGTGTTTACTTGAAAGAAATTGCAGCAGGAGCATGTATCTGAACTTTTCCTGGCTTATTTTTCCCCTAAAAAACTCAGTGAAGTGTGACTAACTTATTGTTGCCTCAGTGACAGCGTTTAAGGAACACTAGACTAAAAAGTGTTTTGTGGACAGGTAATGCTGGCTGGTTCAAAATTGTGTTATTTTTGCTGGTTTCATCAGACCACCTTCAGTTAATAAACACGATGATATTTTGAAGATGTTAGAGTAAATTAAAATGAGACTGAGCCTGAAGAATTCCTGAGAAGACAAAGCCAGTTAGGCATCATAAGTGACCTTAACCTTGCTTGATTTGAAAACATAAGCAAAACTTAACTTGCGCTGTTTCTTGTAAAGGCCTGTTTTAAAGAAAAACAGAACTTAGGCTCAACCAATCAGCAGCAGCCAACTAACTTATAGTTATGTTACTTAGGGACTTTCGAACAGCTTAGATCAAATAAGGAAATTATATAAATGTAAGCAATCAAATATTTCCTTTACTTCTGTGTTCATTTTATATAAGCCTGCCACTTACATGTCTTCAATGGACACTCACGTGTCCCCATTTGGTTGGGAGCTGGCCAATTCATAAATTGCTGTTTGTGCAAATAAACTCCGTAACGTTTTCCTATGCCTCAGTTTATCTCTTTAACTAAGACTGTTTATTTTGGATAGGGTATTCCATCAGGTAACTTGAGAGACATCACAAGATCGTCTTAGTACATGCCTCAAAAGACATTCAAATTAAATAAAAATTTAGATAGAGGAATATTAACATGAAATATTGAATCTATTTTGTTAATCAGGTTCAATAAATAATTAATTAAAATAATAGTTTATATTTAGTGAGCATTTACTATCTTCCAGACACTGCTTTTCTTACTTTATGTGCAACAAATTGTTTTATCCTCATAATCTGTAAAACAGGTTTAATTTCCATCCCTTGAAAGATGAATAAACTGAGGTCTGGAGGAATTGAGTAACTTGCTCAGGGTAACACTGCTAATGTGAAAGATAAAACTTATTGTCATTAAAGTGGGAGAAAATGTAAAAATAGCATTAAGTACTGGGATGTTCGAGTAAAGCAGTTCCTGCATTGAAAAACGCTCTCTCGATAACTCATGGCATGACCTAAAAGTGTAAACTTAATTCTCATCAAATATAAAATAAGTATAAAGATACCTCTTTCTCAGGGTCTATTTAAGTATATAATATAAATTCCATAAAAAGTGCTAAGAAAGGTCCTAGTCATCACTTAGTTAATACAAGTTGGCTATTTTTTTCTTGTACCAATTTGTAACAATAAATGTTACAATAAATATTATTCTCAAGGGAAGAATAGTATATAATTTATAATATTTTACATTTTATAAGATAATAACATGCTATTTTGATGTTTATTCCTAGTTCTTATATTACAATGAGTAGATATCATGAAATACAGATTTATCTGTTGTGCATATCTCTTGACTTTGCACTAAAAGTTTTTGTTGTTGATTTCTTTAACGTTTTAGTTTTGTAGGAACAAATTGTGTGTACGCGTAGGATTACATAAAAATCTAACATTGTGTGACTCAAAAGTAAAATGCCAAGGGCGTGGGGTATGTAATGATTATTTGCTTTTTACTTATAGCTATTTTAATCAAATCAATAACATTTTGCATGATAAAAATAAGGTTCAGAATTACTTGATGTGAAAATTTATTTAGAAAATTACAGTTAAATAAGGAAAATAGATACACATTTATACATATGTAAATGATTTATGTATTCAATTAGATTGTTATAGGCCTCATGAGCTGATAAACTTTTAACTTTGAAAATGCAATATGAAACAGCTATGTTAGATTAAGATTATGAAATTTTGTAAATAAATTTATTAAGTGTTATACATATGCATTTATACATATTGTTTATAATTGAATGTATGTGTACATATATGTCTATAAACACCCACACAAAATATATTTATATTATAAACATTGCATGTAATCTAATGTTTTTGTGGTATCAGATTTTCCCGTCAATTCAGATCTGTTTCACCCTTCAACAGCTTTAGTTTATTTCCCTGCATGGATCTTCTGTACTATCTTTGAAAAGTCATTCACTGATGGCCTTTCAAATAATGCTAAATTTTAACTTCACTATTGCAAATAGTGGTACAACTAATAATGTTGTACATTTACCTTTGCAAATTTATCTAATTTATTAAATTACTAGCAATAAAGTCTGATGGACCAAATATGTGCACCATTTAAATTTCCATAAGTATTCTATTGTTTTCAAGAAATATCATGCCATTTTTTGGTCCCTTCCACTATGTATAAAAATGCACATTTCACCGTATTCTGGACAGACTAGTTTGCCAGTTTTTTTAATCTCTTCTGAAATGCTAAATCTATTGTTAATTTGCATTTATTTAATAATTAAATGATACAGTTCTTAAGCATATGTGCTCATATTTGCCACTTGTATTTTTATTTGTCTATCCATCGTGAAATCATCTACTGAGATATGGGAATTTTGTAAATATAATTGGATTTTCCAAGCATGTATTTGGCTTTAACTTTGTGTCCAGTGTCTTCTGCCACATTGATGCTTCATATATAACATATAATATTCTAGGAACAAAGTGACTTGTCCACATGTTTTCCATCAATATTTTCTCTGCCACATTGATGCTTCATATATAACATATAATATTCCAGGAACAAAGTGACTTGTCCACATGTTTTCCATCAATATTTTTGCCCAAATAACTTACACATTCTATTACTTAAAATTTCTTTTCTGTTTTTTTTTCTTATTTCATTTTAATTTACTTTCTTATTTGATTTTTGCATAAACTTATTTCTTCATTCTCTATTCTGGTTCTGACCCTGTTTCTATTCATCCACAAGATCACCTTTGTAGGGGCCGGCCCAGTGGCGCACTGCTATAGTGCGCCACTTGGGAAGCGCGGCGGCGCTCCCGCCGAGGGTTCGGATCCCACATACAGACCGGTTCCCGCTCAC